AATCTCCCTACCATTACCCTTTCTGTGTTCACACAAATCCCTTGAGGTTTATAAAAATACCCCTTGAAGTTTCATATTGTTTGCATGGAGCCCATTCCGTGAAAATTTCATCCCAAAATGGATTATATCTTTAAAAAATTCTCCACAAATTTCTTATAGTTAATCACATAGATTTCACATAACCCCTCACATTCATTGTTTTTTCCACAAAACTCCCTAAGCTTTTGTAATTAAGAACTCCTAAAGTTTTAAGATGCTTTCATATATAAATCATTAATTATAATATAGCGTGACATAAGTTGTTCAAGAGCAAAAAGAAAATCTTTTAAAGTGAAAAAAAAAAAAAAAAAAACTTTTAGCTATTGCCATTGATGCTAGAAAATGGTTAGTCATCAAAGAACTTGTGTGGACACAAGTAGTTGAAACAGGTCAGATGAACCATATCCTAAGAGATAGGTTGGTTCACCTGTAATCGAGCTACATCCACTATGGTGTATTGAGATTTGTGTGTGTATTACAATAGTTTTGAGTCCTTACATACGTAGGGCAGCCTATTTCTCAAGGAAGGTCATGTTTGTGGCCTCATAGCAAAGGTGATGTGGACTCTTCCAATCCAAAAAATTTTAGTATGTTATTGTACGTATTAGTTAAGGACCTTAGGAATCTACGGATCGGAAATCTGATATACGGATTTTCCGGATTGAAGGAAATTGTAGATTATTTACCTTTTTTGTAGACGAAGATCTGACTGTTCGATCATTATGAATTACCATAAGTTGTTGTAGGTATCATTTGAGAACCTCAGAAATTTACAAATTGAAAATCCAACCTCCGGATCTTCCCGAATTGAATTTGTAAGTTTGTCGAATTTATAAAAAAATAAAAAAAGACTAAATGTGACATGGAGGACTATTTTTAGTTTTTAATCTTACGTATTATTGCAAAAATTATCTTATTTAGGGATTAAAATAATGTTCTTTTATTTATCAAATTATACATATACTAAAACCCAGTTTCGTAGGCACTGTTTTTCACTGTTATGAACAGTGAAAGGGCAGAAATGCCCTCGAGTTTCTTCACGTGTCTATGCTTCGACATTATGTTGCTAATCCATCTCATGTGATACCTCCTTAACCCTTGGAAATTAATCCAGATTTGACTTATGACGAGGAACCAGTGACGATACTTGATTGGAAGGAAAAGGTTCTGAGGAACAAGACGGTGAACTTAGTAAAAGTTTTGTGGAGAAATCATTCCATGGAGGAAGCTACGTGGGAAACAGAAGATCGAATGAGGGATTTGTATCCTCGGTTGTTCTTTGATCACTAGGGGTTTATTATTTGGTTGTTTTAAATTTCGGGACGAAATTCTATTAAGGTGGGTAGGTTGTGACTGCCCGTCCCAGAAATTTTAAAAACGTACGCGTGAAAAGACGATTTTGCCCCTAGTGTGAATTTTCGTTGTGTAGTTATTCTTTTTGGCTTGGTGTGGCTGGTTTTGCACCACACTCACCCTCACTGTTTTCTCCTTTCCCTGCACCTGTCCCGAGTTCCCTTTCCCATCCCATTCTCCATACAACGTACGGACACACACACAAACCCATCAAACCTCCATAGATCGAAGAAACCAAGCACATATTCAGGCTCGTGAAGCTCGTAGGAGTCCAACCATACCCATTTCAGGTAAGAATACCTTCGTTTTCACGTCAAACTCACGATGCCCGATTTTGGTACTGTTCATGCATACGTGATTTCTCACGTTTTTGGAAATTTCAAGTTTGTAGGAAGCTTGGTGAGGTCCCTAGGAGGCTCGGGGTGGTTCGTTTGAAGGTTTTGGACGTCGGGATCACGAGTTTCGAGGTTAGCCGGAGTTGGGGTGATTTTTCAGGTGAGATTTTGTGGATTTTAGTACTTGAAAGTAGTATGATTGTGTTCCTCTCGTTGTAAGCTTCATTTTGGTACCAATTTTGTGAAATTTGGGTGAAAAACGAAGAAGTTACAAAGGTTTGAATTTTTCCCGATTTTCCAGCGCCGGAGGCTTGTCGGAGAAGACGACGGAATATTCCGTCAAATCTGACGGAATATTCCTGACGTCGTTGACGGAATCTGTTAGGAATAACGGAATATTCCTGACGGCGTCAACTGACGCCGTCAGCGTGCCAGGCACGTGCCTGCGTGTGGCCGTGCCTTGGCCGGCGCTTGGGGGCGCGTGCGACGGTGAAAAATTATTTTAAAAATATGGGGATGTTCCTGAGGTTGAGTAGATCACGTTGGTGTATTCATACACCCCATTTGAGCATTGTATGAGAAGTTATTTCTAAAGGTTGGTTATGTGCTTTAAAATTAACGTTTTTGTAGTTCTTTCGCATATAGGTGATACCTATCTCGAGGACGAGCGTGGTCACTCGGGGCAGGGGGGCTACGACCCTTCCACATACCAGTGAGTGGGCTTTTGGTTTTCCGTATATACCTATATACTTATATTTTCCCAGAAATTGAGTGAAACGTTTATTCGTTTATATGCCATGCATCATATTACCGTTGTTTATGCATTGTTAGTTGCATTATTAATTGTTTATATATATATATGCATATTTGGTGCTGCGGACGCACAGGTAAGTGCCAGGTAAGTGTTATTCATGTTTACATTCAGTAGTGATTTTAGATGCATAGAGAGCTTATAACCTGCACCCCCGGTGTTAGTGCTCCCGCCCAGAGTTGGGCACAGTCCTTCACGTGATGTTCACCTCCCGCACCACACGCTCAGCTTGGATCCAAGTTAGGTGCACAGTCCTGTCGTACAGACCACTTTAGGTGGTTCTGACTCGTAGGTGACCCGCGATTATTCGCCCAGCCTTCACGTGATCGTAGCACTTGAGCGTATATATATGTTACACCCAGGCCTGTCGTACAGACCACTTTAGGTGGTTCCGACTCGTGTGCAGGTCCAGTTAGTGAGATTGAGATTTGAGCTCTAGATTCAGCCGTACAGGTCACGTTAGGTGACTTTGGCTGCCAGATTATATGACAGTGATATGTTTATACCTGAGCACTTGCATTTTACTTTGAGATGTTGGCATGGCATATTCTTGAGCATGATTGGTATATATATGTATATCTATTTTCTGGGAAGTATACAGGTTTTACGGTGAGGGGTTAGAACTTATTTATTAAATGGTTTTCGAAAAGCTTTGTTTTTGCCCACTCACGCTTTTGTTTTGCGCCCCTCCAGGTTCTAGTTGACTAGCAGGTTTGGTGGTTTCCCTAAGGATTTTCCCGGCATTTCTAACAGACGATCACCAGCGTAGGGCCACCTTCGGGTGTACTGTTGTCGCATCATTTTCTTTTGGACTGCTTTAGGCTTTATGCTCTGAACTTAGCGTCACACTTATGCTTGCACCTATTATCATTTTATGTGAAACCAGTTTTAATTATTCGTATTACTATTTTCCATTATTATTTTATTAGCTTCCGCACTGTGCACATGGTTACGTCACTTCCACGTGACGGCCAGCATGCCCTGATCTAGGTCGGGGTGTGTCAAAAAAGGAGTTGAGTGCTGTTGTTTGTGTCTTCATAGTTTCGTCAAGATTTGAAAAACAGTGAAAAGATATTAAACTTATGGATGGAAGAAAAAAGCAAACAAAATTTTAACAAAAAATGCGACTGGGATGAGAGAGCATTGTAAGAGTTCATGATGGTAAAATATTGTTGTGCATGACAGTATTAAATAATCAGTTTGATAAATTAAAATGGTGTGATTAAATAAGATTATCTGTTGGGTGTACCTATACATGCTTAATAAATTGTTAATGAGTTTTCAATTTCATGTTATTATTTGCTCTCATGATTTTGTTTCGCTTTTGTATGTTTAAAATTGTCATGCTCTATGTATTTGAGAAATTTTTTTTTTTTAATTTAAATTTTATTTCGGTGTATGGTCCAGTAAACTTCTGGTTCCCTAATCATTTGACTTAATTTTATTTCCACTTCTAAAAGTTTTTCCTGTAATTTTCTGTCAAAAAAGGATTGTTTTGTTGCAAAAAGCAAGGCCAATTTCTACATTCACCAGGTATATCTTCGACTTCAGGTCCTTTGTTCCATTAACAACTTAAAGTCAGTTGCAACCACAGAGTTTGGTTATGATTGGGTAAAATAAGCTGATTATCTGCCTATTTCATGAGGATATCAAGAGGGACTATCTACCCAATCTTTTGTGTGTAAATAGTATGTAAATACACATCAAATATTATCTTTTGTATGTAAATTTGTAAAAGATGTGAATATTAGAACAATGGCAATAGAACTGCCAATCCATATCGTTGTAAATAGATTTCTGTATGTATATAAATAGTATTGCATATCGTGTGTATTTAGAATTTTCTGCATGTTTTATACAATTTTAAAATCCGCAGCATCGCGCGGGCACTATTGCTACTCATTTCCTAGGCTTGAAGAATTTCAAAGTTGAGCAAAAGTACGAGTTGCTCCTTTAGACAAAGATTTAGGATTTGAGCCAGCGTATGCGTATGACTTTGTATGAACTTGCTCCTGGAATTTCTTCCGGTTTTTTACCCAGTTAAATAGGGGTTTTCAGGCACAAACTTGTGTGTGAATTTTGTTTTTATGGACCCTTATTTATTGTTGTGTGAACGAACTTCATGTATGATTGTTTGAACCTTGGATTGCATCCAATACATATTAGAATTTTGGCAGTTAAAACTCTAATATCTATCTGTTGTTAAATTTGGGTTTACTTTCGACAGAATTATGAATTATTGTTCTATTATTCCATACATAGCAAACGATTCTGCCCGGTACCTGTTTCACTTCATCTTACAGTACAATGCCGCCTCTCTTTTGGGTTTGTACCTTTTGTGGAACTAATATACCATCTAATATACCATATTACAAAAGGAAGACATAACATTAAAAAGGAGTAAAAAGAAATAATATAAAACAAGCAAAAAACAACACCAAATGCATAACCTTATAGCGGACTTATGAATTTTCTATCATCAGCTTGATGGTTTTAACAATCTCAACAAACCATTCACGCTTCTTTGTGATCACCACATCAGAAAGAACAACTCCCACCACCAACCCACTTCCAAGACCAGCCAAAACAAATTTCCAATCAAATTCAAACGAGCTTGAATCATTTTCTTTGGTTTTTGAAGGCGACAGACGAGGAGCCTTAGGATCTCCGCATTTCTTTGGCAAAAGATCTCCACACAATCCAGGGTTTCCTTCATATGAACTGCTACCCATTGAAATAAGTTGGGTTCCATGCGGTATTGGACCTGTTAAGCTGTTGTTAGAGACAATGAATGTGTCAAGGAATGTAAGCTGCGCGAGGCTTTGAGGGATTTGTCCTGAAAGCTTGTTTTGTCAAGCCACGTTAAATTCCCGAAAGATGATGGGATGGGACCAGTTAGGAGGTTACCATATATATTGAATGATATCAACCCCTTTAGGTTCCCAATAAATTCTGGAATCCTCCTTTCAAATTTGTTGCTTGAGATGTCAATCGCTACAAGGGCTTCTTGAATCTTCGGATAATATCTCTCCACACCTTTGTTAGTTATCGTGATTGAGTAATATTCCTCAAAAAATATACTAACACTGCGATTAGCATTGAAAGTTGTGTTTACGTTCATATATGTTGACTGGTTTCGAGTGACACCCCTCATGACATTCCCGGAAAAGATCTTTTGAGATGGAAATTTTCCTCTGAAACTATTAAAAGATAGATCCAGAATTCGCAACTCAGGGAAATCTTCAACATTGTCCTGCTGAGGTTCCTCCATCAAACCGTAGAACGCGTTCTGGTGCATTTTCAAAACTTTTAACTCCGGAAGAGCTCCCAACCAAAAGGGAAAAACATCGCTGAATTTATTGTATGACAGATCAATAAACTCAAGTGTCGTGCAGTTCCCCAACGACCTTGGTAGTTGCCCTCGCAATTGGTTATGACTAACATCAATCACCGTCAGACTGCTTGTGTTGGTGTATATTTCAGGAAGAAAGCCGCTGAAAGAGTTGTTTCCAAGATATAAACCTTGCAGATCAACACTGAAGTTTCCGAGACGGGGGAAGAATTCCACTCATATTGTTGTTGGAGAGGTCAAGGAACTGAAGAGAAGTCAGATTGCAGATCAATGGTGAAATTGCTCCATGTAGATTGTTATTCTTGAGCACTAAAACTTGTAGGTTAACCCAAGGAAAGGCATCTGAAGGCTGGACAATGCTTGAAAGGAAGTTGTCAGAAATGTCCATCTCCGCCAAAGTCTTTGTGCTTGTGTTCAACATCCATTTTGGTACTTCATGCAAATTGTTGGAGGAAAGGTCCAAGGACGCCAATGTTTCTTGACCCTGCAGGAAACTTGGGAACTCTCTTATGTTGCACGAACTCAATCCTAGAGATTCTAACTTTGGAAGTAGGCTTGCATTCGTACTTTTTGTTTCTGTGAAAAATTTCAAATTGGTACGAGATAATTGTAAATCGGTGAGCCCTTGTAACTTATGAAACACCATGTGGAACTCCACTGTACCAGTCAGATTATTATCAGATGCATCAAATTCCTCCAGATTGATGAGATTGGATAAGGAATTAGGTAATGGACCGGTTAACTGATTGGAAGATAGATCAAGTTCTGTGAGGTGGGTGAGATTTTCTAGAGAAGGAATTGGACTGATTAACTGATTGGAAGACAGATCAAGTTGTATGAGGTGGATGAGATTTCCTAGAGAAGGAATTTGACCGGTTAACTGATTCGAAAGCAGAAAAAGTTCTTTGAGGTGGATGAGGTTTGCTAGAGAAGGAATTGAACCGGTCAACTGATTCGAATACAGAGAAAGTTCTGTGAGGTGGGTGAGGTTCCCTAGTGAAGCCGAGATGTAACCGCTAAAATGATTAGAGAAAAGTGACAGGACTTCGAGCTTGTTGAGACTACTGAGAGCAGAGGGAATGGAGCCACTGAAATCATTCAATCCAAGATGGAGCTTCTTCAGTTGGGTGAAATTTGCCAATGAACTAGGGACTGGACCGTTAAAGTTATTTCCTGAAAGGTCTAAATGTATGAGCTGCCTAAGATTACCAAGTGAAGATGGAACCAAACCCGAGAAATTGCAGCCTGCCAAATCCAGCGTGTTTAATAAATCAAGCTTTTCGATTGAAGAAGGCAAATTTCCAAATAAGCTAGTGGAGCAAAGATACAGTGAAGTGAGAGGACTGCTTGTATTAAATTCAGGAAAATGACCTGTCAGACCTTCGTCGGACATACAAAGAAACTTGAGGTTTGATAGTTTGAAAATTCCATCTGGGATTTCACCAAACAGCCGACAATCACATAGGTTGAGTGATATTAAAGATGATAAATTGGCAAAAGAATCGGGTACCGTTGATGATATGTTGACCAAACCGAGATCGAGTTTTTCTAGGCTTGTTAAGTTTCGAACGAGGCTTCTTAGATTGGATGGTCCATCCGAATCTTGGTTGGAAGACAAGTCAAGGGACGACAATTTGGCCAACTGTGAACTTTGGGAAGGGATTTGGCCAGAAAAGGAAGAATTAGAGAGATTAAGATGCATGAGCCCAGGGAAATTCCCAATGCTAGTAGGAATTCGAGAGGAGTTGAAGTTGTTGTCAGCGAGGTTCAGCACTTGAAGATGAACAAGCCGGAAAAGGCTGCTGTTGGAGTTGATAGAGCCCAGGAGACAGCTGCTACTAAGGTCAAGGCTAATAACATGACCCGTCCTCTCATCACACACAATGCCATCCCATGCACAGCAGTTGCCGTTTCGTCCCTCAGCTAGTTTCCATTGCAAAAACTTTGGACAAGCGTCATCAGAATACGAGGCAGATCTGTCAATGATGAAGCTTTCCTTGAATTGCAGCAAGGCAGACCTCTCCTCGTCATAACAAGATTGCTGCAATGAGGAAACTGATGAGCTAACAACCACGAGATGAAACAACACAACTTTTGAAAGTGTACAACACATATTGGAAACAAACAAGCACCGGAGGAATCCCATTGTGTTTTGTTCTGCACTCTTCGATATTAGCATGAGAGTGAGGCTGAGAGAGAGGTTTTTTTATAGACTGGTCGTAGGGGTTCCGCAAGTTAGTGTGTAAAACCTAATATCCCATCCAAGTTTCGCATCAAAATGGCCCCATACAGCATGTCAGCAAAAAGTTAATACAAAATAAATCAGCAACCCCTTTTTCCTTTTATTCAAATAAATAACTCAATTTCTAGTAGACTCGAATTTGATGGCTAGTTCGAGGCAAATAATAGAACCACTTGCCCAAGCGTTTGCGGCACAGTCAGCACTTTTTTTTATTTTATTTTTATTTTTAATAACCGGTCATTATCATGTGAAAGGGTTACGTGCTATAGTGGTACATCCTTATGCGAAAGTGGCATGTACTATCCCTATTAAACTTCTCCTACACAAGAAGCAAATAGCCTAATTGACCATAAATGTAAACATAAATATTCAAATTTTCACCGGATGAACTAACTTAAAGATTTAAATTTTTATAAATGAAGAAATATACAATATTTTTCAGCCTAAGAAAGTTTTCACAGGTGATGTGAAAATTAACTTAACGCACAAATTAACCCTCTTTTGACAATTGTAGCATATAAATAAGTAGGGATCGTTCTTACACCGGGGATTAGGAGGGATTGCTAAACACTTTAAACTGACTCAAATAAATAAAATTAACCTTTAAAACACTTAAACTCACTTAAAAAAAACTCAAACACGTTCACAAGACTCAAAATAGGCTAAAAACACTCAAAACTGCCTTAAAAACACAAACTGGGCAGTTTTGAGCCTAAACACAAACTTGGACGAAAATTGGTTCTAACTTGACTCAAAACTCTTAAAAACACAATCTAAAACATATTTGGACCAATTAGACACTCTAAGACAAGTGGGGATTTGGTTTTGGACGAAAATCAAACAAACAAAACAATAATGTAAACTAGGCAGATTTGGGCAAAATTGATAGAATTAAGTGGATGGTGAGATGGCTAGGAGGTTTTTCTCCACACATGGCATACTTGCATACAACACAATCTTCAGTTGCTTATTCGATGAATTATGAACCTCAACACCCCAAGTTAATTAGGTACGCTTAAATTAACTCTCAGATTTCCCTTAGGTCATTGAATTGAATGGAATTAGAGCATTGCAATCAAATTATTCCTTAAATGTTTTCTATATGAAAGCGCATAATAGAAAGACAATCAAAGATCATTAGGTTCTATGGAAATCATAGGTGTTGACGAGGCATTCGTAACTATGAAAGCGCATGATACTTACGCCGATAATTTACTTAACATAATTGCGACCAACAATCTTAACTACTCATGAATATAAGTTCCCAACGATTAGGTGAAGTTTCCTTATACCCTAGCATCATATTTATGCATGCAAATGAAGTGTGCACTCTCAATTCATATGCATAAACAAGTTTTAATTAAAACAGATAAGTAAATTGAATTCATCATTCATGAAATCACAACTGAAAGTAATCAAATCATCATGCAAATATAACCATGGTTTCGAAATTCCCCCTAGCCAAAAAGGGGATTAGTTCCTCATGCTTGCACAACAAAAAGTATTGAATTTAAACATAGAAATCATAAGAAAGATTACACCTAAACGCTCAGCAATTCTAAGATGGATTTGATGCACGGTTTGGCTCCTCCTCCTCCTCCTTGCTGCGGCACAAGATGTGTGTGGTGGAATTGGGGGTTTTGGATGGTGTTTCCTTGTTTGGAGGGATGGAGGATGGTTGATTATGGTGGGAAGGGTGCGGCAGATGTGTAGGAAGATGTATGGAGGTGTATGGAGGTTGAGAATGGAGAATGGAGGTTGCGGCATGATTGATGTTTTCCTTCTTCGTGCTAGAATATGTTTAGTATAATGGCACAAGTAAGGGTGTCGAATCCACAGGGACTAATTGGACCTATACAACTACTTGTTTTGCAAGAACTCTATAAGAGAAATAAAACTAATCAACTTAGGCAGATTTGTTGTTGTAACTTGAAAGCACAAGAAAATGAAGTAGACACAAATAAATGAATCAACAACTAATAAAATGAGATAGCACAAATGGAGATGAAGCTAGGGATTCGGTTTCACCATTGCTAAGCCAAGTCCATGCTTGTTAAATCAGATTATACTCATCCATCTACCTATTTCTTGGGTTTGTTTCACTTAGATATGATCAACCATATGATGTGTGGACTTGATCAAATGTTCCTAATCATGAACCTAAGTGTGATGTGCAACTTTGGTCCCTAATCAAGAACATGACACGCACAAGGAACTTTCATAAAACCAAAGGAAACACTCGGCAGGTTGTTTGCAAAGCATTCCCTTCATTCATTCACATATCCACCAAGAGTATGCATGATGTGTGCTTTACTCTTGGCTAAACAACCTGTGGTTAAATCAAATGGTGATCAAACATTAAAATCAACACACAAAGTCACAATTAAATCAGAGAATGAAACAAGAAATAGATGGATCAACTGAGCATTCTGAAATAACTACATAGCAATCTTGCAAGGCTACATCGAATCCCTAGAAAGAAATTAGTTACACTTCATGTTTACAGAATGTTTGATATAAAAATATACAACATGAATGAACATAGAATTAAGGAGAAAGAACCCTTGAAGCAAAACTGATGTCGAAATCCCTTAAGAGTTGCCTTCGGTGTTGGTGCTCCAAGTGTGTTGTAAATGAAGGTGGAGCGACTAAGGTTGAATGGTTTCTGCGAATGGGAGAGTGTATGGACAGTTTCTGCGAATGGGAGAGTGTATGGAATGGAATGAAGCCGAGAAGAGATTGTGTAGAAATTGAAAGGGATTTGCGGCAAAGGGGAAGTGTTTGTGGTATCTTGTGTATGAAAATGAGATGTTTTTGAATGAATGAATGCAAGGGTTTTTATAGGAGGAGTAGAGGTGTATATGGCTGTTTGTTTAGAATGCATGTGGCTTGTTAATGATGGAAAACATCTAGGAAAGCATGTGAAAGCTGGAAATGCATAAGGGGTACACGACAATGATGCTTGTTGGTGCTGGAATTGCATGTGTGTGAGGTGTGTAGGTGCTGAAAATGCATGTGAATGCATGCTGGAAATGGGAGTGAAAGACACGGTATTGAGTTGGGAAATGAATGATTAAATGTGCATGGCTGGAATGATGAAGAATAAAGGGTGCATGAGTGAATGATTGAATGTGAATGTGGGTGAATGTGAAGAGAATGCATGTGTTGATGAATGGAATTGTGGAGATGCACGGTATTGAGTTGTTTGTTTGTGTGAAGTGTGTGTGAATGCATGTGAGTGCATGTGAATTAAAGGGGTGTGAATGATTATGGGATGCTGGAAATCTGGAGTGGAATGGGTTATTCACGGCATTAAGTGAAGTGAAATGATTAAATGTTTAATGGTTGCATGTGAATGAATTGTTTGTAGGGAAAGAATGGGAGTGACACTAGGTTGAATGATGATGAGTGCATGTGAATTGAAATGCATGTGGAATGAATGAAATGCATTGATATGCACGGCAAAGGAAGTGGATTTTCTGCTGAAATGAATTAAAGGGTGCATGTGTTGATGATTTGTGGTGCAATGATGAAAGGCAAAGTGCATGTGTTGATTTGTGGTGCAATGATGAAGTGGGAAGGTGGAAATGCAAAGGGGAAATGCTAAAATGAAAGGGAAGTGCTCGGCAAAGGTAAGTGTTTGGTGATGGGTGCATGTGTTGGTGGTTTTGCATGGCTTTGATGGATTGTTTGATTGGGCTAGAGGTTTTCCATGGCTCAAAGGATTTGTTTGATTGGGCTAGGCCCTTTGTTTTATGTCCCAAAGAGCATACAAGGCTTCAATTTCATCCAACACTTGGGCTCCAAGCATAAGCTATCCATCCTTAGCCCAATAGTGCTCCAAAAGGCCCCAAAACACTCCATAATGCATCCTTTCGTCAAACAAGTCTTATGATCCTAAAAACACACAAAAGAAGCATAAAGGACTAAAATAACTAAAGAAACATAACGTAAATGTACGAGAACAAGCCATTTAAGTCGCATGAATATGCTCCTATCAAATACCCCCACACTTAGCTTTTGCTAGTCCTCGAGCAAAACAAAACAAAAGAAACCAAAAACAAAACGACACCGAACAAGTAAAACACAACCTAAACCTTCCAACAATCGTCTCAGGGATTTCCAATGCACATGACAAGTTAAAAATCATTATTCCCACAGATTTTAGCCATCTTTACACTTAAGTACATTCTTACTCATAGTCACCACATACTAGTTCACAATTAAGCATTTAAAACCATGTTTTGAATGTAGTAACATGCCTTAGAGAATTCCTTCAATTCCTTACTAGTTGTACTCTCGTTTTTCACACAGATTTTCTGACTACACACCCTATACTAGGTATATGTGAGAAGATTGATGTAAACATGTAGACGAACACTCACATATGTTATAACAAGGAAAACATTTTCTGGATTTACGATAATGACATGAATATGATCTCATGAATGGAATGCTACTACTTAGAATGAGCACCAGTGATTCCATAAGCTCATATCAATTCCAAACTCCACAAATTGAAACACATAACACTCAAGATAGAAGCATAAGGGTTGAAACGAAGCTAAAGGTGTTTGGCTAACAAAGAAAGGTGAAGGATAAACAAACATTCTTAAAGCAATAGTGAGCCAAGTATTGAATTAGGCACTTAGAATTCCCTTAAGAACGCAGAAGTCAACTTTGAACACCCAAGGGAAAGTCACACAAAACTTAGGGTCATATTCAACTTTTTGGACCCTTTCTTCAACCATCAATGCTCGTGAGTTCATTCTTACTTATTTTCACTCCTTTTTTTTTTTTTTTCTTTTTCTTTTGAATCTCACAACATACATATAAACGTAAGAACAAACTTTTACTCCCCCACACTCATTTTCTTGCATAATGTAACTCAAAAGGAATTCATT